ACAGACAGCACGGGGTACACCCGTGTTCACTGGGAACGTTCTTAAGGCAGGCATCCGTAACGCTGCCCATGGAAGCCAGTTATCGCCGTACCTGCCTGACCTTTGTTTGCTTTGCGTGTCTGTACTACAGCAGTTACGAGCAGCCGCTGTCCTGCATAAGGCTGGCAAAGGCCAATGGATGAAGTTCTGTTTGGGGTTTTTTCTGTTTGACATTTCCCCCCTTTCCTCCCCTGTTTTCTTTTTTGAGCTTCTGCTGTTGATGTAGCACCTGAAGGATTCCTTAGCTTTGCCATTTAAGACTGAAGAACCACAAAGATCGGGATCGTGACTCTGTGTGGAAAAAAAAAGTGAATTCTGTGTAGCTTGTCCTAAGGTTCCTCTTTACTTTCTCTCTCTGAAAATAGAGTAGAAGTCTTGAGACGGACGTAGGCTTAGTCATGGATACAGAAAAAGAATGATACTGTACAACTGATAAATTTCATAAACAGCTGTGGAAGATAAACTAATGATATGCTGCTGTTACCCGTGGAGAAGTATCTGAAGATTAACGTATCCAGGATAAATGACCACAAGAGAGAACTAGCTCTGGAAAAAAAAAATTAAAAAATCACATTCCTACATAGAAAATGCATTCCATAACAATGTTTGGACTGGTTTTATATTTCTAAAATTATAGCCTATTACTGTATTCTTAGATTTCAGACTTTTTAAAAAAAATACAGTGCTTAGATTTATACAGGATTTGTTTAGATACTTATAACAGTAACACTTGCTTTATTAGTCATTTAGTTTTCTTTATAGATGAGAAGATAATAATTATTTTTTACAAGACAGCAATTTTAACCTTTCTTAATAGAATACACAGGCTTGTAGTTTTGTCTTGGAGCAATAATTTTAGTGACCTGCACTCTTGAGTCCCCATATGAGAGTCTTGATTTTTATCCTATGGAAACCAGCTGCACATCTAATTCCTAGGCTTAAGGATTCAGAGTTCATTTTGGAGGTACAAGGTTTATGGCAGTATTGATAGTTTCTGCAAGGTATTAATGTGGGAAAGCATGGAATCTTTTTAGGCAGACATCTCCTCCTTGAGACCTGCCTGCAAAACGAGAGGGGGGATTTTAATAATTCCATGAATAGTAATTTAGAGGAAACAACATGATTTGTCACGCCATTGTTTCAGTACCGCTTCAGTCAATTTTGCTCTGAAGTTGGTGCACATTTTGCCTGAATAGGTTATTCTGCATCTAGAAATTTCTGAACGGGCTGTTTGGAAATACTTAGGTGAGAGTAGCTCCTTGTATGACACTTCCTTCCAAATGCATGCCTAACCGTGGGCACGAAGCATGACGTTTCTGAAGTCATGTGGACAAGTCCCAGGTTAAGGATTTCAGGGCTGTGATCTTGGAGAGGCAATCGGTAAGCCTTGCAGAATTAAGTTCAGATAAGGACTAATAACTGATTTTTTTGGTTAAATTATTTAAAAAATATCTTTCATGTACATACAATTTTTCCCTCTGTTATTTGTATATAGCTCAACTCTCAATTTTATAATCCCCTGGGAAGGGGGGGAGTTGTACATATTTAGCCTGAAGTGTTTTATGTTAGACTTTAATAAACTTGTTTTGTAATTTTCTCTCACCTTGTGTCTCCTGTTCATATCTGCAAGGGGTAGCAACAAAAGGAGGCAGGAAGCAGTCGAATATAGCCACCCTCGAAGCGCCCGGGCAGAAGGACGCATGGCCGCCCTTTGCACCGCATACTAACACAGCAGGGATTGCTGCGTTTTCCTCTCAGCAGGCTTCATGCTAAATACAGTCTAGTATAATAACTCCGGCTAATTTTTTTTCCACTTGTTCTGAGGTGATTGGGGTGGGGTTCTGGGGATTGTGTTTGTTTAGGGGTTTTGTGGGTTTTTTGCAGAGTGCTTGGAAGATGTACTTCTTATGGTAAAGTACATAGTCAGTGAACTTCTTTATCAGAATTTGTATCTTGTTTTTACTAGATTGTTTAATTTTGCAGAAGGTGGTCTGGTGGCCAGAGCGCATAGTAGGACTTAAGGAACCTGCATTGTATCACTGACCTACTGGATCAGCCATTTTCCTTCCCTCTAAATTGGGGCAAAAATGCTGCCTTTCAGCAAGGTGCTGCGCATTCTGGAACCTGAAACAATGGTTTTCAGAGAGCAGGATTATGCTGGCTTTAGCAACCAGAGTAACTTACTCAGAAGACCATGGCCAAAAACTCTAGCCTATGTAAATTCTCTCATTCCCAAGAACACAAGATCCGTCTCTTAAGAATTTCAAGGTTTGGTTTTCAGAGAAAGGAAAGCAGTAAATGTCTCTGGCGCAGGCCTCTTTAAGCAACACAGGCTCTTATGGGCTGAGCATCCTGCTGGTAAATAAGGGTTCAGATAAGAGTACAAATATTTAAGAAAAAGACGCTAGCAATTTTGCAAGTAGATGCCAGTTGTCCTGTTATATTTTGTGTGTGATACTGTTGCCATCTTACCACATCTACTAAAAATAAAACACTGCTGGTGGTAGAGTTGGGACCAACTTGATAGATTTGGTTCCCTGTTACCACAGCAGATTAACGAATGTCATTCATACAAGTAAATTAAGACTTAATTTGGGCAATGAAATTAGCCTGACAAGGCAAAGAAAGAAAGATATATAGAAAAAATCTACCTCGATCTGTAGTGCTCTTTCTGGCAAGAGATTCTGTAATCAGTGTCTCAGTACTGAGAGTACTCTTCTGAGACTGTCAGAGAGTAAACTGCAATGCTTCGAAGATGCAACGCTCAGAAAAATACTAACTTTAATAATATAGGCTTACCTAATTCTTTAAAAGCTTATGAATTTTCATAGCATGCAGATTCTTCTCCAACAGTCACATTCAGTGTGTCCTCAGCTTTTGTCTCATTGCTGTGTTCTTCCTGTTTGACAAGAGTTAACGTGTAAGCTCCTCTCTGGAGTAGGGTTCTTACAGTGCGGCCGATGGACTTCGTGCGTAACAAGAAGACTGCGGGTTCAGATGTCCCTGTGCAGGCCACCAGGATAATTCATTTCTGGTCTCCTGCTCTGCCCTCGCCTTCTGGGTGTCACGCCTGTTCAGCTGTCCTGTGAGGAGAACACGGGGGATCTCCTGCTCTGGAGGGTGAAGAAGACTTGGTCGGGTCTTACAAACTGGCTCTGGCATGCAAGAAAGCGGAGGGGGCAGAGAGAGAGACCTCCACGTCAACTCACGGGTAGTAGAACAAACATAGCTGCTCTGTGGGCTTACCTCTAAGTCCCCGTAGGATACCACGCGCTTTTTGGGCCAACAGAGCCTGGCTAGGCTGTGTTTGGGTGCAGGGAGGGGGGACCCCAGCACTGAGAACAGCTGTCGGTGCCACGTCGGTCGTTTCAGCTTGGCATGGGGTGTCCGTACCTCTCCCTGTTCCTACACTGCTGCTGTGGCAATACAGAATCAGAACATCGGCAGTTACATCACTGCTTTTTAGGTGCTATTGTTGAAATCACTTTCTATCTTTTTCCCCTCATACTTTGATCTCATAACTCTTGCCTGCATGCATATACATTTAAGGATTATTCTGTTACTTAATACTAATTTTTAACAGGCACGTTTAGACATAGAGAAGATTGCACTAGTGAAAGCCTTTGAGCAAACCTCTGCTGTCCTATTTGATGACTTTTTCTGTTTAGGAGCACGGATCTAGTCACTTCTACAGGTGTGAGCAGAGTGGGTGGAAAAAGGAAATGGTCTGGCTGATTCTCAAGCTTTTAAGAAGCCTGTAGCCAAACAATTAAACAATTTTTAACTACCATTATGTTCATATGTCGTCTTAGTCATGAGTAGGAGTTGCCACACGGCTATGATGATACAAATCTTTTTAAACTGTTTTCAAGAGGCAGGAAGAAATAATGAAACCAAGTTTGGTATTGTTTTTCATTTGTAGCACAAGAAACAAGTACATGCTGCAAGGTGATCAAAATACCATTTACACACCAGTTCACTAGCTTTAAAGTTCCATCATTATAGCGGCTAAACATTTAAGTTCATTTAACTTCGTTTAAAAAAAAGTCACTCTTGGAAAGCAAAAAGAGAGAATATTTAGAGCACAGTAAGAGCACAGGGGTTTACCCAAACCTCTCTCAGCGTCAGC